AAAATTGTTAATGAACACCTTTTCTATATCCTGTTGGGCTTGCTTCGTTAGTGATGTGGAAATTAGGCATGCCAGCGAGCGATGCTTCCTGTTCATGTAAGTGCTAAAAAACTCAAGGAACTCACATTTACAGAATTCCAGCTGGGATCAGAGTCCCCCCCCCATGTGAAGTTCAATAAAAGGAGTTAAAAGAGTACAGGTAATGTCTGAATACGGTAGCACTGAGTATAATCCCCAAGGAGCAGCAACTCAAGGAATAGAGGGCTGAGTTGTAGATGCCATTTCCTAGCGAAGGGGACAAGCCCATTTGTTGTAGATTATCTTCTTCAAATAATCAGCTTTCATCTAAATCTGGAGACTCTTAAGCAAAGGAGCATCATCCACTCTTCATTGGTGTTAACTTCTTTTTAGAGGAACATTACTTTTAACAACTTCTAGAATATAAGAATTTAGACCTAATCGGAGACCCTCCATCAAAACCATCAAGTAGTTTACCTACTTGTTTGGAGACTGTCACCACCTCAGGAAGCTGAGACAAACTCAAACCTAAGAGAGAAATTCATTTCCCTTCGTCACTTACTGTATTCTCCATAAGTAGCTCGGATCCGCAGGGCTGTGAGGTTACGCAGTAACCTCCGATACTCGAAGTAACTGAGCTGGGGGCTCCAATTACTGCTTGGACGTTCATTTAATCTGAGGGATTTAAAGCCCAAAGCTTAAAAATACAACTCTTATCAAGTCTTATAATTTGTATACACGATATAAATTATGCCCAAGAAGGTGGGAACCGCTAAGCCCCTTCACGGCCCTGCCTAGAGGGGGATGAAGGATGGGTAGCTGCATCCTTGTAGGCTTGAACTTGGAGTTTGCTCTCTCTGCAGGGAGCATGAACCCCACAGGAAGTGATGGAGGGCATCCCAGTGCAAGAAGCCCAGCCCCAGGGGTCATGGCATCCAGTGCTGGCCTGAGTCCTCAGAGACCACTTTCTATTCCTGGCCACACAAAACTTAGTTATCAGGAACATTGCTGAGTTCAAGAAGCTCTGACCCTCAAGAGAGCTACCATTAATTTTTGGTTTTGTTGTTTAAATGGTTTGTTAACTGAGCACATTTCACTTACTCTTTTCAAAAGTCAGCTTTCACGTTCTACATTGGACATGTCCAATACTTCTTCATTTAGCATGATGATATCTCACAGCATCATATCCTTTTCCCCTGCACTGGTCTTTCAAATGTTGTTTTTGTTTTTTACTGGAATCCTTCCAGGAACAACCCAACTTCTTTTCTTTAGTTCACTGACCTCACTTCTCACTGTATTCTTCTCCCCCACTCCACACTTCGCTCATGCTTAACTACTTAGAATTTCCCAATGCACAAAACGTCCTCAAGCATGATTATTTCCCCTGCCTTGCTCACCTTCCCCTCGCTCCCCTTTCTATCCTTAGAAAACTGTTCTTCCCTTGTCATGTTTTCTTGGGAAGCTCCCCTTGATCGCTCCAATGTGGGTTACTTGTGCTCCTCTGTGTGTTCCAAACACCTGTGCCCACCTTGCCTATCTTGTCACTCACAAGCCACACTGTACTGTTCTGTTTATCTTTTTCTCCCATTAGCCTGTCAAGGGCTTGAGGGCAGGAAGCACGTCCTGTTTATGTACATAACACCATGTCTGGTACGCGCAAGGTGCTCAGAAAAGCTTGTTAAAAGAATGAATGATCGAATGCATGAACAAAGGAAGGGGACTTCAGTCACCTGACCCACTTGTAGTCACTCTTTTTACCTGAACGTGTAAGTCTTGGTGATCCCACAAGGAAGCGTCTTGCCCAGAGGCATCAAGGGAGCTGTGACCCGTAGACCAGCGCCTTCCAGGATCACATCGTGGGCGGACGGGTGTCTGCCTCCCCTGTCCACACGGTAGTCAAAAGACAGGGTTTGCCCATAGCTCACCTGTTGATTCCCAAGAAATTTGGCTGTGAAACAGAATTTGAAAAGACTGAGATCAGTGTGAAACTGGAGAAGTAAACGAGCTAGCAAGTTTGCATTACTGTTGGTGATTTCTGCTGGAGTTCTGTGTTGTCAGTGTGCCTCCATGCCCCCAACCACCCTTCCAGAAGAAGCAGTTCATGGATGTGGCCATACTGCCCCTGGCTACAAAGGAGAGTTAGAGACTGACAAAAGGGCCACGTTGTAAGACAATTCCATGTGTTAGATGATGCACAGCATGGCCCTGTGAATGCCTGGGACATAAAGGTCCCGGGTACGTTGGGAATAGTACCATTTGTTATATAATGCTTTATAGTTCACAGACTTCATTATGTTTGATGTTAATAATCCTTGGAGGAATTATTATCCCCATTTAATAGCTGCGAGAACTGAAATTTGGAAAGGTTAAGAGGACAACTTACCTGAACACCACATAGTAGCTAATGAAATGAACTACTAATACATATGTTTTTAATGTACAAGTGGTTAAAACTGAGAAAACCTTATTTTCACTTTTCCATCTGCTTCTCAGTAGATCCACAGATGTGACCTCTGTCTTTATTTCTGGTCTTGATGGAAAACCTAGAAACTTCCCATTTGACGGAAGTAGGAACCTCAACCAGGGACCGTCTGCCTGGATACACAGTCCTGTTCTGTTGTATCATGACTTTGTCAATAGGGCTGAAGCCCCAACTGTCTTCTGGAGATACTGCTTTTCTGAACACCAGGTGATATGGTTTTCACATTTGCTAACTCCATTTTTCTCTCCTGACTTCTAGGCTTACAGGTTGGCTTCTATAAGAAAAATACCGTACACACCAGGAGCGACAAAATAGATGGGGTCTGATCGTCGTGCTGAGCTGAACACGTCCCGATGATGCTGGGACCACTGGAGCTTTGCAGGAGACCCATTTCTTTGGATAGCCTTCCAGCCATCAACATCTGGAATGCAAATAAAACCACTCTGCATTTGGCAGACAAACCTCATCATCTATTGAGCTAAATAAGGCAAGACTTGATTGCCAAAAAGTCTTAGAGGTGAACAGCTAGTGGGGTTTCTTAATAGTTCCACATTCGTGTGCAGTCCTTAAAATGTCCTATGCCCCATTCCACTTGGGTCTCAACTTCACCTGCTCCCACCCCACAGCAGCTCTGACTTCTTTGAGTCTGATTCTCATAATAAGAGAGCATGTTTTCATCTGCCTGTAGAGTTCATACTTTTATTTTATTTACATAAACAGGGTCTGGCCTTTGTGAGTGGGGAGGGCCCAGTATGTTCCAACAGAAACCCCAAGTTGAAATCATGTCACTCTCCTAGATTTTTATAGGGTTTGGTAGCTTGATAACTAATTTCACATACATTAACTCATGTAATGTATGTGAAAACAGTATTTTTTAAAAAGATTTATTTATTTATTTTAGAGAGAGACTGAACACATGTGAGTGGGAGGAGGGGCAGAGGGCGAGAATCTTTCAAGCAGAGTTGTAGGGTCAATCCCACGACCCATGAGATCATGACCGGAGCTGAAACCAAGAGTCAGATGTTCAACTGACTGAACCACCCAGGCGCCCGTGAAAGCAGTATTATTAATGAGTGTGAATTCCAGGAAGACTCAATAACCCACCCCCCCAATCCAAATGAAAGGTTCTTTTGTGGTTTTAAAGTACATGGAGGTGGGAAGTGCAGGGAGATGAAAATCTGGTCTCTTTTTAGTTATTCTTTTAAGTTACTCATATACCGGACTGAGTCAGCTGTGCAGCTACGACTTTTTCAAGACATTAGGATCTGCCTTATTGCCCAGACAAAATAATGTCTTTTAAAGCCAGAAGAGAGCTGCTAAAGACTATGCAAAGGTCCCAAGCTGCGACGAGGAGGAGGTTGTCTGTAAGCATAAAGCTCTATACAATGTTAAAAACAAAATTCTAGAAACAGAACACTTTACCTTGATAGAAAGTAGAGGTGATTTTATGGACACCGTAGTCTCCAGAGCTGTGGCAGTTGGCTGAATGCCCATAGCAAAAACACTGGGTACAGCCCTCGGGGTTTCCCCCATCCAGGTGATAAAAACCTGGTCGACACCTGTGGCGGCATTTTAGCGATCAGGACAGTGTTAGAAGTTACTTCTTAGTTCATACAGAGAATATGGTGACTGATCTTTTCTACTTTCTCTCCCGCCTGGCCCTATTAATTCCCAGAACTGGGAAACAGTAACTTACACATACCATCCCCACTCCCAGACGGGATGGATAGTCACAGCCCCCACTGAGAGAGCATGAATGTTCACTTTTCTGTCCCTGTGCTAGAGCACAATCACGCTGGACTTGGTGGCCTGGGAACCTAGTGATTTCCCCATCCCTGGTGAGGAACTGAATGGAGGTCACATGAGCGGGACAAGAAGGGTTGGGGCAGGGGGGATGTAGAGCTGGCCCTGTCTTAGAGCAAGTGTTTAATGGGGGCAAAGAGTGGGAGGTGGGGCCAAGAAAGGGAAGATAAATGTCCCAGCCCCAGCACCTGCTCAGCTGTCCTGGCCCGCACAAGAACACTAATTGCTGCCCACCATCCCTGCCCCTTATATCCCTGCTCTGTCCACAGGGAAAGGGGCAGGTGGGGATATGACAAACAAGGATGGCTGGAGGCTCCCTACAAAAGCAAAATGTAGGCTGGCGTCCCACCTGCCAGTGGCTTGTCTGAGGACCACAGCTACCAGGCAAGTCGCAGATGTTGGGGCCACAGAGAAGAAGGAAAAGCTGGGGAGGACTTGTTTTTCTCTGTTCAAGTTAATTACATCCTACTTCATGAAATAATAAAAGTTTCTTTTTTTTTTTTTTTAAGATTTTATTTATTTATTCATGAGAGACAGAGAGAGAGAGAGAGAGAGAGAGGCAGAGGGAGAAGCAGGCTCCCAAGGAGCAGAGAGCCCGATGCGGGACTCGATCCCAGGACCCTGGGATCATGACCTGAGCCGAAGGCAGACGCTTAACCATCTGAGCCACCCAGGCGCCCAATAATAAAAGTTTCAATGATCATTTATTTAGCGCTGATGCTATGGCAGGCACTTTGTGTATGTTCTCCAATTTAATCCTTGGTACAACCCTATGAGATAGGAGTTGTCATTTCCAATTTCTATTTATTTATTTATTTAAGAGAATGAGAGAGCAAGCATGAGCAGGGGCAGGGGCAGAAGGAGAGGGAGAATCTTAAGCAGGTTCATGCCCAGCACGGAGCCTGATGAGGGGCTCGATCTCATCACCATGAGATCATGACCTGAGCCGAAATCAAGAGTTGGACGCTTAACCAACTGAGCCACCCAGGCTCCCAATTTCCAATTTTCTTAGATGAAGACACCCAGGCCAGAGAGGTTAAGAAACTTGTTCGAGGTCATAGAGCTGGTAAGTGACTGAGAAAAGATTTTCAAACCGGGTCCATCTGCCTCTAAGTCATGTGGTCTAATCCACTGCCCCCTATGAGGGGAGTCTGTATATTGTGCAAAATTATAGAAAAGCGGGCGCCTGGGTGGCTCAGTTGGTTAAGCGACTGCCTTCAGCTCAGGTCATGATCCCAGGGTCCTGGGATCGAGCCCCGCATTGGGCTCCCTGCTCCGCAGAAAGCCTGCTTCTCCCTCTCCCACTCCCCCTGCTTGTGTTCCCTCTCTCGCTGTGTCTCTCTCTGTCAAATAAATAAATAAAATCTTAAAAAAAAAAAATTATAGAAAAGCAGGTTAACTGTGAACAGTAAATGCTTCAGAGAACAGCTGTACATAAATAAGCATTGGTTTTTTTCTCTACAGAGCAAGGGCTTAAAAAAAATCATGATGGTTTCTTTGGAGGAAACCTGCAGATTAAAAGGGATTAAAAAGCAAGGAAGGAAGAGGGGGAGGGGCACAGAAAGCGAGGGGAGGGAATGAAAAAAGAAGGGAAGGGAGGAACTGAAGGAACTCAGGCAAAACAAGGACAGTGATGAGGGATGAAACCAGGTGATAAATTATGAAGAAAAGTAAGGAAGTGATCACACGGAGGTCAGAACAGTGTCACTTCTCGAAAGGAGGGGGGGTGTTGCATTGGGATGGCACACTTTTAGTGAAGGTCTACGTCTTAGAAGGGGTGGTGCTGACATTTGTTTCATGTAGTTTTCTGTTTCTGTGTGACACTCCGAAATGAAACACCTTTTCAAAAAGTGACTCCTCTTTTAACAGGTAAGCTGTGGTCCCCTCCCTGCGCTGCAGCAGTGAAGAACCCCCTGGAAACACAAGCTGGGAATGCATCTGGTATTTTCTCTGCCCAGGTACAAGTGATTGTCAGGATGCCAAAGGACTGCTTTCTTACTTTTTTTTTTTTTTTAAAGATTTTATTTATTTATTTGAGAGAAAGAATGAGAGAGAGAGCACGAGAGGGGTGGGGGTCAGAGGGAGAAGCAGACTCCCCGCTGAGCAGGGAGCCCGATGTGGGACTCGATTCCGGGACTCTGGGATCATGACCTGAGCTGAAGGCAGTCGCTTAACCAACTGAGCCACCCAGGCAGCCCCTGCTTTCTTACTTTTAAGGAAATGAGGAGAATGCCTTTACCTCTCCGCCCAGCCTCCCAGCTATTGTAGGGGAGGGAAGCGTTTTAAGTCTGAGCAATTTGTCCTTAAGGACTGTCCGCAAGCAGCAACGGAGGGTGGATCGCTGTTTCCTGTGCCACCTGCCGCAACATGGCCCGGGGCCCAAAGGGCTCTTACCTCTCCTCCCGGCTCATGTGTGTGCATGCAAGCACCAGCCCATCCCTGGGCGTTTCCTTTGCTGCACATGATGGTTATATATGGCCATATTTCCTCTTACTAGCATTTTCGCAACATGCTTAATTAGGCCAGGCCTTTTCTGGGACCAAGCTGAGTCAGGTGACCTCATCGTCACATGCCACCTTGTATGGGAGCACCTGGGATTCAGAGTCAGCTGGCAAGGGGACTCCCTGGGGCCCTGGACCCTGCAAAAGGATGGGGTCCAGGGAGATTTGGGGGGCTCAGCTGTACTTTTTTTTAAAAGCTAGGATTTTGAGGCCAGCGGGCAGGATAGAGATCGTCTCTATTTGTTACGTGTCCCTTTTCCACAACTGCACTCAGAGGATGAATTCTCACGCTAGCTGCCAAGAGGCTCTCCCTGCTGTGTCCGCAGGGCCACGGTTCACACAGACCTGTCACAGCGCTCTCCGGTGACAGCTGGCTTGCAGACACAGCGGCCCTCATCACAGGGCCCCAAGATACCAGCTGGGTCACAGTCACACGTGGAGTCTCTAGGAAAGAAGACAAAGAAAAGTAGAGATGTGTCTCCAAATGCTTCCCGGCTATCCACATAAAGATCAAGTGCTTCTAAGTAAATGTCACCAACTTGAGTAAATCCTTCGTCTTCACTGAGGCCCCTCTCGGCTCCCCTTGTCCACGCTCATCTCTCCCAGGCCCTTTAAGGACTCGGTTGTCTAGGCTCACGCTACTCTGAGGGTGACAGCTGGTCCATGAACTGCTTGCTACCCACCCTCAAGGAGAAAAGGGGTTGGCGCCAGAGTGTGAGCCAAATCCATCACTAAACGGTTCAGTTTGGTTTGGTTTTAGTTTGGTTGACTGTTTGGTTCAGTTGCTTTTTTTTTTAATTTATCATTTGCTTCTCTATTGTTTAATTCAGTGATGACTGCTTTCATTGTGATGGATTCCATCTACTTGCTATTTTCGTTTATTTAGTTCTTTCTTTTCGCAACACTTCTATCAAGACACAATTCAGGGGTGCCTGGGTGGCTTAGTCAGTTAAGTGTCTGCTTTCAGCTCAGGTCACTATCCTGGGGTCCTAGGATTGAGTCCCGCATTGGGCTCCCCGCTCAGCAGGGAGTCTGCTTCTCCCTCTCCCTCTCCCCCTCCCCACTCCTCATGTTCTCTCTCTTAAATAAATAAATCAAATCTTTAAAAAAAAATAAAAAATTTTAAAAAGACACAATTCACATACCATACAATTCACCCATTTAAAATGTACAATTTGCTGGCTTTTAGTAGATTCTCAGAGTAGTAGAATTTAGTAGAGTTTAGTAGATTCTCAACCATCCCAATCAATTGTAGACCATTTTCATCAGTCCAAAAAGAAACCCTGTGCCCCTAGCAATCACCCTCCCTTTCTCCCCCTCGCCCTAGGCAACCACTAATGTACTTGCTGTGTCTACAGATCTGCCTATCCGGAACATTTTCTGTAAATGGAATTGTACAATCTGTGGCCTTTTGTGTTTGGCTTCTTTCACTTAGTATGTTTTCAAGGTTCATCCAATGTTATACTTCATCCATGTATCAATAATTCATTTTCTTGAATTAAAATTGAATAAATTTTAATAAAATTGAATAAATTTGAATAAAATTCCATCATATGGATAGACTACATTTGCTTATCCATTCAACAGCTGATAGACATTTGGGTTGTTTCCACTTTTTTAGCTACTATGGATAATGCTGCTAGGAGCATTTGTGCATACGTTTCTACGCAGATATGTATGTTTTCATATTTCTTGAGTGTATTCCTAGGAGAGGAATTGCTGAGTTTGGCTGATTTTTTTTTTTTTTTGGTTGCAAGACTTTCTCAGTGTTTCCATTATTTAGTTTTGGCACAATCTCTTAGTGCTCTGGCTACTGACTAGTATCACTCAGATGGGCACACAGTCATAGGCATCTATCTCATGGGTCTAAAACCAAATCTGTCTTTTCCCTACTGTTCGCCCCTCCTTTGACTGCCCTTTGACCCCATCCAAATCCTACCCAAACCAGGATGGGCTCCTCCTCCCCCTCACATTTCTCATCCAGTCAGAGTTCCAAGCTGTCAGGCTCCCTGAAGATCCCTTTCCCAGTCCTCCTCTTTCACTTGTGAGGCTCTCCTCCTGTCGTAGCCCCTCCACACCACTTATCTGGACCCTTTGACAAACATTAGGCACCATCTACTGGTTGCTAAGCATTGAGGACGCTAAGAAATAGGATCCTGGTCTCTAGGAGTCTCCAGGCAGGGCAGAAACATGAACAATGATGGCAGCGAAGCCTAAGGCCAGCTGGAACCGGGTGGGGGGCCCCTTCTGTGTGCCTCTCCCCACTCTGGGCACTGGGGATGCAGTATGAACAAGACAAAGCCAACATGGGGCTTTCGTTCTGGTGGGAGAGACAGACAAACAAGAGATGTGAAGTAACATCAGTCAGAACTTGGAGGGGTGGGGACTGGTCAGGCAAGGCCTCTGTGAGGAGTGGATGAGGTGGGGATGGAGCCCGTGAGGCTCTCTGTGGCCCCGTAGGAACCAGGAGTGCTCTAGGCCAGGGCCAAGGTCCCTTGGCTTGGCTCCTTTGAAGAAGGGAAGGCAGGCTGGTGGGACCGAGTGCAGGGGGCCAGGGGGAGAGAGAAAAGCAGTGGGAGTCCACTGCTGGGGGTGCAGAGCGAGTGGAGGATCTTGCAGAGCCCTGCTGGCCTACAAAAGAAGTCTCCATCTCATTCTGAGAGGACAGGGAGCTACTGGAGGGTGGCAAGCAGAGAAGTGATATGATCTACTTCATGCTTTAGAAGCATTTCCAAAGGCAGACCCGGCCGAAGGAAGGGTCTCTGAAGACAGTCTAAAAGGGGACAGGGAAGCCTGGAAGAGAACAATCTGTGCAGAGGCCCAAGGGTGAGAGAACTTGGGACAGTGGTAGCCAGGCCGGCGCCAACATGGAGGGCAAGGGGCTGGAAAAGGGGGCACTGGGAAGTGATCCTCTGCGGGCACCTTCTAGCTAACGCCTTTCCTGCCGAGCTCCCTTTCCCCTAACCCATGCCAGTACCTGCCAGCTCTGCATCCCTTTGATTGCTTATGTGATTTATAATGTATGCTCCATCTTCTTCCAGGAAAGAATTTTTTTTTTTTTTTTTTTTGAGAGAGCACGCACAAGAGCAAGGGGAGGGGAAAAAGGAGAGGGAGAGACAGAATCTCAAGCAGACTCTACACCCAGCTCAAGCCCAACACAGTGCTCAATCTCACAACCCTGAGATCATGACCCGAGCCGAAATCAAGAGTGGGACACTTAACCGTAAGAGTGGGACACTTAACCGACTGAGCCACCTAGGTGCCACTCTTCTGGGAAAGAATATGACGTGGGATAGAGAATGCTTCAAACTAAAAGGTAATAAAACTGTGCAGAAAAGTTTTTCTAGTCCAAATTCATTTGGGTTGAAATGGGTCCCAGGTAAGAATCTGGAGGGCGCTTTACCTCCATCCTCGTTCATCTAAAGCAGGGCAATCATCTGGGTGAAGAACGTAGGTTTCTGGGCCTGAATATTAGGTCCACCCCCACCAGTAATATTGGGTAAACTTAACCCCTCGGGGTTTACATTTCTTATCTTCCACATGAGTGTGACGCTAATCCTAACTTCCGAGGCTTACTGTAAGGATTAAATGGCATGACCCACGGGAAGTCCTCAAACAGCACTTGGCATACAGTTGGTGCTCAGTAACGGAAGTGGCCACGGATGTTAATGTCATTGTCATCCCTCATGGCAGAAGCTGCAGTGGGGGGTGCAGGTGCTTACAGTAGCCTTTGGTCTCGGGTGCACCCGGCGTCAGTGAGCATGTGGAAGCCTGGCAGACATCGGTCACACCTGTCTCCTGTCACACCCGGCTTGCAGCTGCACCGTCCAGAGTTGTCACATCCAGCGCTAAGAGAACCTGTAACACACGAGGTGGGGAGAAGGAAAGAAGAAAAGGAAGTATTTAGTTTATAGGGCATTAGGAAACAACTGCAACCCCATGAGAGCTCACAGCCAGGCGCGGCTTCTTCCAGCAAAGAAATGGAAGTTACTCCTGGAAGCATTTGTACTTCTCTATCGAACATTAAGTAGTGTGTCAGCCACTGCTTTTTAAAAGAAGGTTGTTGAATCCTTTGAGATCTCAAGAAGAGGGACAGTTTGGGAATGAGCGCATCAGCCTCCTCGAAGACAGTTAGTATGAGAAAGCAAGCAACATTTTCTCTTATTTCTGGCAGGCAAAAGCCATCTTTTAAGGGTCAGTGTGATTTTAGTCATTTATTTATTTTTTTTTGAGTATGAAAAGGCCTCCTAACCAGAAATATCTCTACCTACCTGGAGTGGTGGACATTCTCGTCCTTGGGGCATCACCCCTTCCCTGTGCATCTCACCCGGTTTAGTGCACCGAGCACTTGTCCTGTGATTGATTCTGTATAGACATGCTCTTACTTGTTAGTGGGCCCTCTTGGATTGTGAGTTGATGAGAGACAAGAAGTGCTCAGGGTAGCAAATGCACCCCTCCAGAACCCAGCCTCTTCATCTGACTGCCTCGCCCTCCCCCACCCCAGTTCAGGTCTGTCCTCTCTCCCTGGACCCTGCCTCCCACTCTCTTCCCTGCCTCCATCCTCACCTCCCTTCCCTCCTTTCATGCTGCTTTAACAATGGAATTCAGATCACATTACTCAGCTGTTTCGTTCTCTGGTGGCTCCCCACTATAAGCAGAAGAAAACGCAAACTCTGTATCGTGGCCCACAGGACTCGACCTCTCCCAGCACATCGCCTACTCTCCTTCACTCCATTCCAGCTCCCAGCTCCCCCAGCCTGTGTGTAAAATGTGCCAAATGGCTTCTCTCCTCTGGGTATCTGCCCTTGCTGCTCCCCCAGCTTGGAAGGCCCCTTCCCCAGAACTTCCCCCTAATTGGCCCATCCTCAGCTGTCAGGTCCTGATTTAATATTACTTCTCTAGGGAAATCTCCTCTGACTCCCAAATCCCAAATAGCCATCTTGCAGTCCTGCTTACTCAGGATGACCTCAGCTTGTGTTCCTTGCTCTGTCCCCAGGGCCCCAGTGCAGAATCCAACCCGAAGAGGATGCCCAGAAATCTGTTGGATGAAGGCACGTATGCCAAGAAAGAGGTTAGGGTTGTTGGGACAGAGTCAGAGGAGGACCAAAAATGAACAGGAAGGTGGTGAGAGGTGGACCTCACCTACTTTGCAACCTCCCTGTGCTGGCAGAATTATCAAAGAATCCATGTATCTCAACGAACCATGATAACCAGGCCACCCATAATCGATAAAGCCAACAGAACACTAACCAGTTGCTCCTTTCTTTGTAATCAGTTATTCTGTAAGTTTTTGATTCACTAGTAGATACAATTCCAATCAATGAAGATTTTGGCTCTGTGCCGATATAATGGCTTTTTGCCACATGTGGAACCTGAAATTAGCCACATTCACAGAGTCAGTGAAAGACGCCATGTCAACTTTGCAAGGCTTGAAGGGGCCCTCAGTGATAATGGTATAAACTACATTTTTTGAGCACCTACCACATGTGAGACACTGGGTTCGGCGCTTTATATATATTAGGAAATGCTATCTCCTAGTGAAATAAGAGCTGACAGAAGAATAACAGATCCATTTGTGGGTAACAGGGAAGTATCAGAGGCTCAGGAACTACAGACCCACAGTTCAGAAAGGCATCTCTAAGGCCATCTGCAGGATGCCTCAGGGAAGGGAACACCATTCCTCAGAAAGACATCCTCCTGTGACAGGATGCCCTGGATTGGAGGAGTCTGGGTGAGAAGAGGAGGAGGGAATCGCTGAGAGAGCCACGTGGATGCAGAAGGAACAGACTTCCCCTCTTCAGAAATAGACGATGAGGGGGTGGGGATCACATGATGACACCAAGGTCCCAACTTGCGCCACTAGAAGCAATGGGAAGCTATTTACCAAAGAGAATGGGAAAGAAGGAGCAAGATCTCAGGTTGAAGCATCAAGAGAAGATCATGAGTTTAGTTTTGGACATTGTGAACTTAACTTTCCGGTGGCATATTAAGGTGGAAATGTTCACCTGGAGCTCAAGAAAGAGGCTGGGGGTGAGGATCTAGGAGCCTTTAGCACACAGGCTGAGTAGGAAAGCAGAGCAGGTGTAAGATCGCTCTGGGGGCAGATAGAACGAGGAGGGGAGGAGCCTCGGACACAAATGGAACCCCATTAATTAAGGGGCCTTTCATAATCAAAGCAGAAAGAAGTCTCAGGACACTGGAAGCCAAGGGAGCAGAGTTCTGAGGGTCAAGAGAGCAGGAGGGTGGGAGTTTCAGGACCTAAGGCAAGAGAATATTTGATGAGATGAGCATGAAGAGAGGCCTCCTGGGCTGCCAAGCACAGACCTCCACGCTCCTGACCTACAAGCAGGCAGCCAACAGAGCTAAGAAGGAAAATTTCTGAATTATGCTCTGATAAATAACATTCAACAGAAGATATCTCTCTTTAATACAATCCACTTGTTTTGTTTTTTTTTCTTTAACACAAATGGGTGTCAATCTGGGACTCAGAAATCCATTTTTTCCCCATTCCAATTAATGGAAATTATGCTTTCAACCCAAGAAAATTCTCCCTACAGTTTTTCAGAAATGAATTCTTCTTAGAAAATGGAAAAGATTGTACTTCGCTTTTGGGTTTGGCCCACATAGACCAAAATGGTTACCCTGCAAAACACCCTTCTGAGAGAAATCAATAATCATCTCATGAAAATAGGCATTCTGTGTTGAGAAAAGTTTGGGAAATGGTGCTCACTGATCCCTCAGAGACTTATAATATAATAATACCTTCAGCAGGCATGGACCTTGTTTAAATTTTAATGCCAGTATTTCTAAACATTCTTTGACATTCTTACAGGCCACATCTATGATTATCTTGAGGAACGTTGTATTTTACAGGACATTATCTAGAGAATCCTGCTCTAAAAGCTGGAGGGTCAAAGAGCCCAGACTTTGAAATCCAACAAATCTCCCTTCAAAACCAGCTCTGCCACTTAGCTGTGTGTCCTTGGGCAAATGGCTTACTCATCAGTTCTTTAAAGGGAGGGTAACCACCTATGCCTTGTGGAGCTGTTGCAAGACTTTGGACTAAAATATATAAAGTGCCTCATTCAGTGTCTCACACGTCACGGGCGTTCAAAGAATGTAGTTGGCACTGCTCCCTCCGGCCTCCTTCAAACCTTGCAGAGTGAACATGGAGACATGCACAGGTCCTTACGGTGAGCATGACCACTTTATGTCACATTCCAAAACTTCCAAACTAATAGCACTGGGTTTTCAAACTCTCTCATTAAAATAAAAACACCTGTCCCAACTCCTCCTTCGTGAGCTGCTCTTAGGGATTGTGAACAAGTGGGCTGAAAAAAACAGAAAACAGCTTCCTGTTTCAGTTTTGTGTCCCAATAAGCTCTTTTAAGGCTTCTATAGATACGGTCTATGTGCATCTGAGGGCTCAGAAAAGTATGCTAAAATGAGTACTATTTACAAATTAGGGGCACCTGGGTGGCTCAGTCGGTTAAGTGTGCAAGACTCTTAGTTTCAGCTCAGGTCATAATCGCAGGGTTGTGAGATGGAGCCCCGTGTCGGGCTCTGTGCTCGGCGCAGAGTCTGCTTGTCTCTCTCCTTCCTCCTCTGCCCCTCCCCCTCCTCACACTCTTTCTCTCTCTCTCT